TTCCTGGCGCCCCTGCTCCCCTGCCTGTTCTGTGTTTTTTCCTCTCTTCCCTGTCTCTCTCCCCTTGTTCTCTTGCGGAACTCACAAAGCTTGCACTCGCCTTACAGGGGGCCGGCCCCTCGACCTAATCCTCCCTGCAGCCCAAAAGTTTGGTGACATGCGCTTTTTGGCCACGGTTTCCCCCCGCCAACCCCGGCTGGCCCGTTCCTTCCCATCCTCATCCATTCATTCCTCCGCTTCCCTCTATGCAAACCTGCATAGTCATGTCGTTCGGGCTCCAGTACCCCCAAACCCCGCTAAAATCCCAGTGTTCTTCCTTTGGCTGCCTGCCAAAGATGGAGGACCTTGAACTCCGCAACTCGGACTCTGGTCGGGTCGGCAAGGACACTTCAGTCGGGGATCTCCCTGTCAGTTTGGTTTCGCGGTTGCGCTGTCACTGAGTCAGTGGGAGAGCTTGAGCGAGCAGGCGAGAGAGCAGAGAGACGCCATGCAGACCACCAACCAAGAGCGTAAAGAAAAACAGAGAGACAGAGAGGGGCCTCGAAGACGCACAGACGCACGCCGAGTGGGGTTGGCCTTCGACCCAGGGGGCTTCTTCCCCCTCAAACCCCTCGCAAGCAAGCAAGACAGAGAGACACCGAGAGAAGGAGAGAGAACAGCCCGGGCGCTGACTCAGCCTGAAGCCCAGAAGAAGAGAGAACAAGAGTCACCCGTCAGCCACCACACGGAACACAGCGGTTTCGCTATGCTCGCATACCTACCAATAAACTGAGCAAAAATCACCGAAGCTACGACGAACTCGAATCCTTCGGAAGTTTTCTTCCTCCCTCCGCCTTAATAGCTTGGCCTGCTTCTGAAGTTTCCACAATGCCGGGATCAGCTTGCCCGAGTCCATCACAAGTTTATTGACTCCTGTGAGCGGATCCGCCAGCATGACCTCATTGACAACCGAACGACCACCTTCTGTGGTCAGCTTTGAGCGCTTCCTCGGCCGAGGCTCGCAATTCCTGTACCAGGGCCTGGTGTTCTGCTCAGCAGGTGCGGCCTTCTCGCTGCTTGTAGTCGACGTGGAAATCACCACCATCCACCCCTGCCTGCGAGGCGCGGTTTTCCACCTGCTCCCGCAGACCGTTCGAGTCAGAGCAGAACTGGATGAGGTGCAAGTGTCTGCTATACCAGGAAAATAACCTGTCTCGTCTCCTCTGTGTCACTGGCGGGGTTCTCCTCCTCGTTTACCGATACCGGATTGGCAAGGTATCTTGACGATGGCATGTACGAGTAGTTCAGACGGCCGATGGCAACGCAAGGTCTCCGATTTTTCAGTTCCTCTACTATCTCGAGCATACAGGTCGACACAAGGAACCACACGACCCAAATTTGCAGCCGGCCACCTACTCTGGCAAGTCTGCTGGTGTGAGCCTTGAGCCAAAAATTCCACTGTCTCGCCTGTTTAGGAAGCCGTACGAACAAGCAAAAGCTCCCACCCCCGTTTGCACCTCGGACAAAGCCGGGCCCCGCCGCCCAGAGCACGGCCAGAGCGAGGCAGAGGCGCTTCATCGAGGACGAAGCCATGCCAGCTGCTTACGTGACTGAGATTGTTGCTGTTACGTACATGCCGGTGCTGATGATTCATTCAATGATGATAATGATGACGGCCACGACGACAACGTCGACGGCTGGTTTTAGTGCTGTTTGTCTCAGCCTCCACTTTCGGCCGGAGGTTCCTGACCAAAGGTGCTGAAATCATCCGTCGTGTTTGCATGGAACGTTCATTCCAAAGCTTGGGTAGCAGCTGGAGGTTGCACTCTCGCAGGCATCGAGTGCACGCCCTAGCATTTAATCTGCTCTTGACTGGGCCGGGATCATAGACATACATCGCTGAATGTTTAAGCCGGAATTTTAAAAGCCGTCCGACAGCTGAAGTCTCATCCATGACGGGTCTTCATCGTCTGTACGAACTGTACGATAGGTCTGATAAGCACACCAATGAAGGCGACGTATTCTAGCAGAAACCTGCGAGGATTGGAAGGTCTAGCAGAGGCACCAAGTAATCGTCTTACGGTAATCAACAACTACTACTGGCGGTCGCATTATGATTCTACCAGCAGTTGCAAGGACTGCTGGGTTCTGGGTGTAGTTCCTCGAACCTTGTGAAGGCCGAGGGCGATGCCTTTGATGGTGACGTGGCGCAGGCTTGCATTAGGTGGGCACATGTGCGGAATTCCTCCGCGCAACCGCAGGACGCCTTGCTGTGTAAACCCTACCCTACAGATACAAACTTGACCAGCAATGACCAGCAGAGCTGTAAACCTTCTGCAACAGCTATCATATGAGAACAAGCGCAACCCAGACATCTATAGAACGTACAATGGCAACGCCTGCCATCCCGACTGCAGCAACTGTAAACCTCACAACTGCAATCCGGACCGCCACAAGGATAAATCCCTCCACTGGAGTTCCGGGCTTCACCACCCTGAACCCCTAAAGGAATAGACGTAGATAAATCCCTCTCAAAAATGCGCCCGTTCTCCACAGATCGACCAGCACATACGGGTTGGGCCTTGGGATGCTAATTCTAGGGTAGTTTGGGGAGGTCTACACTTGCTAGCAGCAGCGGGAACAGCAAGAGATCGCGAGGGGGAGCATCTAAGGACCCACTAAATTCCCCCGACTCCAACACCACCCAAACTTGCATAAAGGTGAAGGAGTGGTACAGAGAATGGAAGCTACAAGCTAATAACGTAGCTTTAATGTTCTGGTCTCCTTTTAGAGCTTGACAAAAGTTCTTCGGCGGCCAGCCTTCGAATCCTAAGAAGCCAAACTCTGAACCTCCGTTTTTCTCGCTTCAGTCCGCCAGCATCCGCATCCGGGCATAAAAAGTCGAGGCAGTCCACCAGCTCTGTGCCTCAAAAGGCCGGTTGGGGGGAGTTGGGTGGGAGGGGTGTAGGTTTGAGGTCATGGTTGAGGGCAAAAAAGGGCGAAGGTTTAGGGCTGAAGTTTAAGGTTCAGGGTTTCGATTTAAACTATCGGATCAACTGCTGGGGCTTGAGGCTTACATGTCCCCACATAGACATGGGAGCCGACAAGCAGTCCTTCTCGCCTTTCAGGGTTCAGGGCTTTGGGGAGTGTAGCCCTGGCTTGGCGAGCGTGAAGCCGAAACGATCCTCAGCGCTCCCTCAGCTGCTGACTCCTAAACCTTAACTTCGGGAGCCTTCCGTCAAGCCTAAACCCTCAAAGTCCCCAAACCCTGAAACCCTAACCAAACCCTAAA